AGATAACACTGTTACCTCACCTTAGTGCAGTAAAATAGAAATGAAGAAATTAGAAAAGTAAAAACTATTTGAAATTAAATTCACATTACATATCAAAACAAGAAACTCAATCCTTAAATCTCATAAAGTCACAGAATCTCCACATAAAAACTGATAAAAATTGATAACAAGATGAAACCAGCACACTGTGATCTGATGGAGACCCTAGAATCCAAATCTAAGAAACTCTGAAATTTTTCTAAGAAAAAACTGAAGATAGTTCAAAATGCAGATTCATATGCGAAAACCTTTCTGCTATACATGGCGCATCAGGCATCACAAATTCAACAAAATGAAAGAGAAAATTCAAAATTAATTAAATATACAATCCTTATAGGATCAGGAAAAATACTATCATTTACTATAGTGTGGCTTCATCTGTCTAACAAAGGCAACCTAAATGCAATTAAAAGCGATGATAACATCTGTAATATACTTCGATTTGCCATCTCGTCAACTTTCCGGGCAACCAAACGGAATCTAAAATTATATGTATTTATTCGTTGACATAGATTACTTATAAAAACAAAATGTTGCAACAGGATCAAGCCAAGTCGATAGAACTGAGAATCATAGGATCTTACCGATCTCGATGTCTTCCCTCCCGCCGGCGACTTTGCCTCCGAAGAAAGAGAAAATGGCGTAAAATCTATCTGATTGTATAAAGTGAAATTTCAGTTTGTTTCTGTAAATTGCGCGTGAGCCGTAAGTGGGCGGATACTGAGACAAAAAGCCCAATTTCCCAAGCCATAAGTACAAATTAAGTTTTTCTTTTTCCGTTTCGGGTCTAATATAATTCAAGCCCAGATCAGAGGCCCATGAATGTCTAGCACAGTCCCACAGTTCCACCCTTATCCCTTCCTTATCCAGTATCCTCTCCCCCATCTTCTTCTGCAGGGCAAGATGTTATCCACAATTCATTCCGGTCTCAATTGTGCTTTCACCTTTCCTTCATTCCCTACTCAGAAAACCATTATTAAGTCCCCTGCGACTTCCGTTGTCTTCAAGTCTAAAGCAAATTCGATACTCCTATCGACCATTTCTAATGAGAGAATCATACCCACTTCCAGAACTCAAAGATTAAACGTATCGGCAGTCCCAGAAGCCGTCACCGTTGAAACAACCACGGAAACAGAAACTTCGTCCTCTGAAACTCCAAAGGAAACTGAGGTAGTAACTTGATAGTTATAAAATCTAAATCTTCCTTCTTTCTCTTCTAATTAAAATATGGGTTTTGTTTGTTTCACTTAAAAAGAGTTAGTTCTCCGTTGTGCAGAAAGCTGAGGTGACGGTGAAGCAAGTGCGGAAGCCGAGGCTGGTACTGAAGTTCATATGGATGGAGAAGAACATCGGGCTTGGTCTGGATCAAGTGATTCCTGGGCACGGCACGGTTCCTTTGAGTCCTTACTTCTTTTGGCCGAGAAAAGATGCATGGGAAGAACTCAAGGCCACTCTAGAAAGCAAACCATGGATATCCCAGAAGAAAATGATTATCCTTCTCAATCAGGCCACTGATATCATCAATCTGTGGCAGCAAAGTGGCGGCAATCTCACCTAAACTCACAATTTCAGTATTTTAATACGTAGTTGAATTTTGGAATTAATATTCTTTGAATCTGGTTTGTATTTTCATTTTAACCACCTAAACTCACATTGTTGTAATTTGCAATCCTTGTCATGTAATATCGTATCTGAGCTGAGCATTTACAAAGTTTGACATGCTTGATACTGTTTTGTGCAAAGCTTGTTCTGAATCATGTGCTCCCTTCTCTTCTCCATAGCTTTTCTGGACATTTTGTAGGATGTCACTGAGCCAAGGAAACCGTCACCTCAAATGCTTTATCGCCTGTTGGGCTTTAATAATGCGGCAAAGAGCTAATGATTTGGGTAGTAACATTTTTGTAGTTACTTTTATTTATAATTTTTACATTTAATAATTATTAAATGAAGTAAACATATATAATATTAATGATATTAGTAAAATTAAAAAAACTTAATTACGAAATAATGGTAAATTTATTTAAAAAAATATCACTCAATTATGCTAATATAAATGGTTGATGCAAAAAAAAAAAAACTAGTGGGTGAGGTGAGACGCCGTCGTTTAAGTAACAAACCGAGGCTTCAAAACGATGCCACTTTAAAGAACTATATAATAACCGTATCAGGCAAGTTTCTCGTCCCGTCGTTCTTCACAATTCGCCCAAACCCAAAACCCAAATACAGTCTGCGTGAGGCACTTTTTCCCGCGCATTTTTCCTGCGATTCGATGCCTCCGAAAGCCGACGGAGCCGAAGGTAACAGATCTCTCTCTTCTTCCTCCGTTAAACTCTTCTTTTTGTTTGGGCTCCGTTTTTCCTTGTCGATCTTAAGACTCTTTTCCCCCCCAAATTTGCAGCAATCGTGCTCAACTTCGTCAATGAGGTAATTCCTGATCTTGTTTGTTAATTTTTTTGAACTTCATTTAGTTTTTGATCGTATTGATAATTTATGCTTCAATTGATTGCTAAGAAATGTAATCAGAGCTTAAGCTACGATCTCGCTAACATGTTACGATTTTTCAACTTCGATTTTCTCTTTGCTTTCCTACCTTTTCTTGGCAATCAATCAGAACTTAAGGCTGTGTTTAGTATCTTTTACATCTCCTATTTTTAGGAGCTGAATCTCCAATTATATTGATCACTAGTAACCAGTGAGCGGAAATTTTGTTTGTTTTACAGAATGTCTTTTAATTTTATAGGGAAACAAACAGATCTTAACGATACATCTCTTTTTTTCTTTTTTCTTTTTTTTTTGGATTGTCTCTAAAATATTTGAAAAAAGGGAAGGGAAGTTAGTAGTATTGAAAGAGGTGCTAGCGATGTTTGAATTTCAATAACCTATTGTAAATGTGCTAGTGTTGTTTGAGCTGTATTACTCAATTTTGGTCTCTTTTTTTTACAATGTTTTTCTAAAACAGCAAAATCGGCCGCTAAATTCTCAAAATGTGGCTGATGCATTACAAAAGTTCAACCTCAAAAAGGCCACTATTCAGAAGTCACTGGATGTCCTTGCTGATAGTGGAAAGATTTCGTTCAAGGAGTATGGTAAGCAAAAGATTTACCTTGCTCGGCAAGACCAGTTCAGTATCCCCAACAATGAAGAACTTGCTCAGATGAAGGGAGAAAATTCTAGACTACAGCATGAGCTGGATGAACAAAAGAGAGCAGTCACTGAGGTTGAGGGAGGTAATAGCCTTTTAACACTGAATACTCATTCTACTTAAGCAAATACCGGATGCATTTTGAGCTTGCCAATGCTAGGTTTTAAGATTCTACTTTCTCAATCTGATCCTCTTCAACATTTATAGTGAAAAGTGTGTGTAGAACCTTCTTCTGTTAAATGACATTAACCAGTTCTGTTGTTGCAGAAATTAAAACTTTGCAATCAAACTTGACCCTGGAAGAGATTGTCAACAAAGAAGGCAAACGGAGGAAAGAGGTAAGAGCCATTTTTTAAAATACTTGGAAAATGATAAGAGAGATCAGGAAACTTCAGGTTTTTTAATTATTTATTAGGTTAAGGAAATGGAGGACAAACTGGATAAATTACGAGGAGGAGTTACCCTTGTGAAGCCTGAGGAGAGGAAGGCAATTGAAGAAATATACTCAGAGAAGATAAGCCAGTGGAGAAAGCGTAAAAGGATGTTTAAGGATCTATGGGACGCTATAACTGAGAACTCACCAAAGGATCTAAAGGAATTCAAGGTTTCTGTATTATCATACATGTTTCACAGGCATCTGCTTTTAACATGCTGAGGTTGATTCTAACTGCTATCGTACTTGCAGGATGAACTTGGAATTGAATATGATGAAGATGTTGGTGTGAGTTTGCAGTCGTTCTGTGATCTGATGCAGCATGGAAGGAAGAGGACAAGAGGCCACTAATTTTATACAAAAAGTACATTCTTTGTCACTATTTCAATCGAAGTTTGTATTTCTCTGTAGGTAAACCTGTTTCAGATGTTTGTAGATCCGCAACCTTATATGATATATATGTTTTCTTTTGTATATTCATCGACAACTCTCAGAAAATTGCTCAGGTTACTTCAACTTTCCCGTCTCTTGATAAATTTAATGTAGTCAGTGGATATCCAGGTTATCAGGAGCCCCAAGGTTTCTGCTTCTGGATTGATCAGTGACAGCATTAGCTAGCAGGTGGTATCCTCTTTGATTCCTTTTGTTAGTTTCTTAGGGAAGAAGAAGAAACCTATGATCTTCACAGTTCTTCCCCTTTTCTACTTCCGGCTGAGCAATGGGGCAGGTGGTACAAGCTGCGTTGATATTATTAAGAACTTTAACCCAAAGATAAAAAATAAAATGGTACCATTTAACTTCAAGATATACTTTTTTCAAAACTCTTTATTTTTACCTTGTAGGAAAAATGGAAATAAATTAGGTACAAAACATCAATGCAACTCGCCAAGTTTACACGCCAAGAAAATTGTTGAGAGAACAAAGGCAAACTGATTCACAAACTCTCACCAATCTTACAAACAGATACTTGCTTGTGCTCCTTAGTGGCCACGCGGTTGTCTGGTCCTCATTGAGAATGCTTCCTTATTGATGGCTAACTTTTGTTTGGCTTTTATTCCAGATCCTTCAGCAGTGCGTGCTGGAGAGTGTCCAAATCCCACCTCTGGCTTTACGCCAGAATGAAGGTTTGAAGCGATTTGATCTCCATCCCTATGAATCATTGCAGGATTTGAATAATGGCTCCCTTCATCGTCACTATCTTTCAAAATTATATCCTTATCCAGCAGCTTGAGAGGGTCTACATCATCAAACGAATTTGTAGTGTTGATTTCTGAAGCCTTCTTGCTCTGATTCACCTCCTCCTTTGCTTGACTACCATTCTGAATTTCCTTGTCTTTAGAATCTGATTCATGTCTGTCGATCACTCTTCTTTGTGGTGTTCTGGGACTATTCTGATTATCAGGATCATGAAAATCAGATCTAGAGAGTTCCACTGCTGCTCTTGCAGCAGCTGCTGCATATGCAGCTGACTCAAAAGCTGCTTGAGCTGCATCAGCAACATCCTTGTACTTTTGCCTTGCTTCCATTGAATCAGAAAACCCTTCTTCATTTCCAAAACCATCACTCATCACAGGCTCTGTCTGGTTTTGCTTCTTACTTGAGTCCACATTTTCCTGCATTAATCCCATAAAGAACAAGTCATTAATTTACTGCTAAACTGTGAAGCATATACATAGGAAATGGAAATCTAGAGTTTTTACAAACTCTATTTGTTCTGTATAACCGGCAATACCTTACTGGAAACAGAGGAAATTTCCTCCACTTGTAGAACAATAGTGTTCTCAGCAGCAATCTCCTTGAGCTCCTTCATCCTGCTTTCCAAATCTGGCTGTCTAGTTGAGAGCTTTTGTATAAGCTACAAGAGCCAAAGCTATAATTGTTAGAAATGTTGATGCATTTCCAAGATCAGATCATAAAATTCCATAAAATCCAACTTCTGGCCTCCTACTATAATGAGTCACCATTAACAAAATGCAACAACCTTATGGTCATACCCTTTCTACATTGTATAATGCTGTATGTTATCTTAAAAACACTCAATCAATCACTTCATTCTTGTTTGTTTTCGAGACAAAAATCAAAAGACCAATGGATTATATATCATCTTCAATCATACAAGACTACTATATAACAATCAAGCAATCAAATACTGTAGTACGTCATAGACAAAAATTTAGCTAAGATAGAATTGAGAAATAAGAAATGTACCTTAGTACTAACACCACAGTTGTTGCGCAGCTCAATAGCACGAGTAGCAAACTCTTTGCCATAGCGAGACACAAAAACTGCACGAATCTCTAAAAGCTCTGGAAATTCCCCACATCTTGAAGACGCAAAAATCAACCCCGAAATAGCCTCCTTCAGCTCCTCGGGACATCCTCTGTAGAGAATTCCAAAACAAAATTGGATAGATAAATAAATAAATCCAGCGCCATCATCAAATGTGAAATTGAATTCAGCCTCTGAATAAGAAACTAAACCTGTCCTGCTCCATGAGATGGACTCTCTCGATCAAGAGATTACAATACCCTTCCAACATAACAAACACATCCAACATATTCTGCTCTTTGATCACCTGCTCAACCTATCCAAACAAACGCCGATCAAGAACACGAACAAAATGCATCATGTATAATCCAAGATTCGATACAAGATTTCATATGAATCAAAATCTTACACGAAGGAGAGCGCGATCGTGGTGGCCAAGTTGGAGGAGCTGAACCACATCGGAGCGAGCCTGGGAGCAGCGGATCTGCCGTTGGCTCTTGAGAACAGCGAGACGAGAGAGAGCGAGGTTGACGAGCGGTTTGAACTTGGCAGTCTTGAAGTTCCTTCCGAGTAAAGCATCAAGCTTCCTCCCCATGCCTCTGCTCCTCGACTGACTATTCCTCCGATTACCAGAAAATTCGGACGGCGTCTTTAAAGGCAAAGGGAACAAAGAGCCCAAGGCCAATTAGGGCCTTTACGTGATGACGAGACGAGAGTGAGGAAGGAAGACTGAATCAGGCGAAATACGACTAATGTGATGTATATATATGCAGCTTTTACGTGTTTTGTTACTTACAAGCTAAGTTTTAGAAGAAACAGTACACAGTGGGAACATATTAATATGCTTAAGAGCAATTTTGGAAGGGCAGTAAAACGCGGTTGAGGTTGAGGCGCCCCCTCCACCCGAGACGATAACAACAATAACAAACGCGGTTGAAAATGTTACCGTAGGGGCATGCTGCTGGCTGGCTGGCTGGCTAGCTGGCTGGCTGACATCTATGTCCCTTATTTATTATTTGGTACCTATGCTTAATAATTTAATGGAATTTTTTAGCATGTAATTTAAGAATATAAATTTAAAATGTAGTTAATATATTTTTAATTATTAAATTATATGAAAAAAAAACAAAATAAGTTAATATTAATTTTAATATCAATGTCATATTATGTGTATTAATTTATTTAATTAATTAATTATTAAAATTAAAGTCAATTTTTTTATGTAATTTAATGGCTTTTTTTTTTTTTTTTTTTTTTTTTTTTCTTCTTCTTCTTCTTCTTCTTTATTTTTTTTTTTTTAATTTTCATTTAATTTCATTTATATATAAACACACAACTCTATTGAACAAAATCAAAGCATCCCAATCTATAGGAAAATTTAGGA